CTCAAAACCATACAATTTTTGTTCAAAACGTTTTTCTCTAAAATGCTTAGTTTTTGAAAGAAAAGGGGTGTACGGGTGGTCCTAGGACACCCTGTATATATACGAGGGCTGTATGATAAGTACCCATGTTAGGGAAGGAAACGCATTTTTTTTTTAAATTTTTTTTATCTATTTCTCAACATAGTCTTCTTTCAGCTCGATACACTTAGTCCAGCGATATTCCAACTTTTTTAAGCCATCCAAAAAATATGATTTGTCGAACTCTGCGCTCTTCATCAAAAACGGATGTTCGGCCACGCTTGAATTCATTGAACCAATATCTGATGGTAGTCATCGAAGGTGCATGGTCCTTATAAACGGCATGCAACTTCACTTTGATTTCCTCACACGTCTTCCCATCCGAAAAAAGGATTCGAATCACTGACCGATAATGCTCTTTTTCCATGGTTACAAACAAACACAAACTTGCCCACTTTCAACAGCTATCAAAACAAAACTACTCGATAAATCTGTCTGAAATTTTGACAGGCGTCGTTCGAAAGATGACGTTAAACGATAGTATACAGATTTGTGGCGACCACTGCCACGAGTCATGCCGTTGTTGCCGTGCGCTAAGCACACGTTAAAGTTCGCGCCTCGACAGACCGTCCACGAACACACCGCGCAACACCAGCGCCCTCGCAAGCTACCACACGGTAGCAAGACGGAAGGAAGCCATCTTGTCCCTAGCAAAGGGAAGGGATTAGAGGTGGTTAGAGAGGACATCTGGTTAGAGAGTAGAGAACGTTTCCGAAAATAAAGCACGTTGTATATATATATATATATATATATACCATCCGTTTGCCTCAATCAATCAATCAATTCCCGTTTAAAGTCTCCACATTTGGTGACCCCGACGTGATCGGTCGGGTAAAAGAAGAGGCATTTTTTTTACGAAACGGGAAAGTGCTGGTGTTGCGCGAGAGGTTAACGGTTTCTGCCGAACACGTGTCGGTGTAACGAGAGCGTGAAACGTGAAGCCGCAAATCGCGTAGGTGCGTGCCCCTTACCTTTTGTCACAAAAGCGCGTCCCTTCCTGAGGTGACGCAATGCCTGATTCACCAGAGCGCAGCCGCGTTGATGACCTGCCGGATTCACGCGATTCGTCGCAGCAAAGAAGATCAGTGCAAGATGGCGAACAACGTGAACAATATCGCCACGCCGATAACCTTGATGTCGAAGCCGCGCGGGTGGTGAAGCTACCCCCTTTTTGGAAGGAGAACCCGGCCTTGTGGTTTGCTCAAATTGAGGCAGCATTTGCAATCGCCAGGATTACAGGTGATGAAACTCGATTCCGCTATACGATTGTCAATCTCGATCAAACTACCCTGCCGTTCGCTTCTGACATCATAACCTCACCACCAGCTCGAGAGCGCTACGAAGCACTCAAAAAGCGCCTCATCGCCTCGTTCGGGGAAACCACTGAGTCAAAGCTCAGACGTCTGCTACGGGGGCAGGAACTCGTTGACGAGAAGCCGTCGAATTTGCTACAACGATTACGCAACTTGGCTGGAGGCCAATGTACCGATTCGATACTGGGTACCATCTTCATGGAACATTTACCCGAGAATGTGCGCACTATTCTCGCGATCAGTGAGACAACCGATCTTGCCAAACTGGCCATACAGGCCGACAAGATTCTCGAAGTCTCACGGCCCAATCTTGCCGCCATCAGTAGTAGTCAGGTGGCTCAGGTGGGGTCAATGATGACCTGCGTGATCTGAAATTGGCAATCGAGGAGCTTACGCGTGAAACAGCCCGATCAAGGTTCCGGAGAGAACGTCGAGGCGACGTGCAGGAAGAACGCTCGCGCTCGCTAAGTCGCGCACGAAAGCGTAGAACTGATCTATGGTTCTACCATCGCAGGTTCGGCGAAAAGGCTAGGAGTTGCGAGGATCCCTGCACCTGGAGAAAGGAGCATTCCGAGAACTCGGAAAACTAAGCGCGCCTGTCTGTGGTGAGGCGGCCACGGATGGTGGAAGGCAAACGAACCGCCTGATAATAAGCGACCGTGCGACGGGCGCACGATACCTAGTCGACACCGGCGCGGATGTGTCCGTCCAACCGGCAGCTATGGTGAGCAGGCATCGTAAAACAGTGGACTTTAAGCTTTACGCAGTTAACGATTCGGAAATCAGCACATATGGCCGTCGGTCAGTGACGATCGATCTCGGTCTCCGTCGCAGATTCACTTGGGATTTCATCGTTGCTAACGTCAGTCAACCCATTCTCGGTGCGGACTTTCTCCAGCATTTCAACCTTCTAGTCGACCTTAACCGCCGCAAGCTATTAAACAGCACCACACAATTATCGGCCTCGGGGAGGGTAACCCACACTCCAACGCCTGCACTCTCTACAATCAACGTGAATGGCGAATATCACGATTTACTACGCGAGTTCGTCGACATAACCAACTCTTGTGTGCCTAAGAAAGGTAAACACGAAGTACAACATTTCATAGAAACCAAAGGCCCCCCGGTCGCCGAACCAGCACGAAGACTGTCTCCTGAGAAATTGAAACAAGCGAAAGCTGAATTCGGGCGTATGCTCGAGCAGGGTATTTGCCGCCCTTCTTCAGGTCAATGGGCCAGTCCACTACATCTCGTGCCCAAGAAGTTAAGAGATTATAGGAGACTATATGCGGAGACTACCGCCGATTGAACCGGACAACGATCCCGGACAGGTATCCAATACCACATCTACACGATTTCACGCATCGTCTCCGTAGATGTACCGTATTTTCTATGCTGGATCTGACACGCGCGTACCACCAAGTGCCCGTCGCACCGCAGGATCGCCCTAAGACAGCCGTAATTACCCATTTTGGCCTGTTCGAATTTAATGTAATGATATTTGGACTTTGCAACGTGGCACAAACTTTTCAAAGACTGATGGACACGGTTCTCCGCGGCCTAGATTTTTCTTTCGTGTATATAGATGATATCCTCGTAGCATCTAAAGACAAGTCGCAACATAAACAGCATTTGCGCTCTGTATTCGAGCGCTTACGCGAATACGGTTTATCAATTAATGTATCAAAGTGCAATTTTGGTTCTAGTCAAGTACAATACTTAGGATACGAAATCACCAAGGAAGGAATTTGCCCGCTCGCTGCTCGAGTGGAAGCCATATTGCAATATCCGCCACCCAAGGACATTTTGGAGCTACGCAGATTTTTGGGAATTGTGAACTTCTACCGCAGGTTCACAAAAGGCGCTGCGCAAGCCTAGGCGCCCCTTAACACGTTGCTAGTTGGAGCCAAGAAGCGCGACAAGCGCCCAATCAAATGGACGCCACTGGTTGAGCAAGCTTTTGAGAACACCAAACGACGCTTAGCTGAAGCCACACTTTTAGCGCATCCAGCTGAGAACGCACCACTGATTTTACGCACCGACGCCTCTGACGTCGCCATGGGTGCTGCTCTCGAACAAGTAGTACAAAGAGAAACAGAGCCCTTAGGCTTTTTCTCCAGAAAATTCACCGATACGCAAATCCGATGCAGCGCATATGATCGGGAGTTGCAAGCTATATTTAGTGCATTAAAATTTTTCAGACATATGGTCAAAGGGAGGAAGTTAATGATCATCACCGATCATAAACCGCTCATCTACGCATTCCAGCAGCGGTCTAACAAGGCATCGCCGCCCCAGCAACGCCAATTGGACTTCATCAGCCAGTTCTCCACGGACATAATCCACATCACTGGGAATGAAAATATCGTCGCCGATGCTCTGTCGCGCATCCAAGCAATAGAGATGCCTGTTCTTGTCACCACGCAAGAATTAGCGGAAGGACAACTCGCCGATAAAGAGCTCCCAGAAATCCTCACCTCAGAGTCATCCTCGCTCCAACTACGCAAGTTGCGTATCGACAATACGGACGCAGTCGTGTACTGTGACGTATTTGGCGCCGATGTACGTCCATACGTTCCACAGCAGTTGCGAAGACGCATCTTTAACGCAACACATTCATTATCACATCCCAGTGGCCGTGCAACCAGGAAGCTGATTGCGAAACGTTTCGTATGGCCTCTCATGAATCGGGACATCGCAGAGTGGTCAAAGACATGCTTAGCATACCAACGCAGCAAGATATACAGATACATCCGCAATTCACCGCAGCACATCCCGGTGTCGGACACCAGGTTCCATCAAGTCCACCTAGAAATAGTGGGCTCGCTGCCGGAATCGCGGGGTTTCCGCTATTGCTTAACACTAATTGATCGTTTTACCAGGTGGCCCGAGGCTGTACCTATTCCGGATGCCACTGCAGAGACTATCATTTCAGCGTTCTATGCCTCCTGGATAGCACGCTTTGGCGCTCCTGCTATTATAACAACTGACAGAGGATCACAATTCGAGTCAAAATTATTCGAAGCCTTAAGAAAGCTCACTGGCAGTCACAGGACCCGGACTACTGCTTATCATCCCGCGTCTAACGGATTAAATAGAGAGATGGCATCGATCTCTTAAAGCTGCTATCATGTGCTATGACACGTCTGACTGGACCACCGTTCTGCCAACTGTCCTTCTAGGGCTTCGTACCAGTTACAAAGAGGATATTCGAGCCAGTGCAGCAGAAATGGTATATGGAACCACGTTAAGACTTCCCGGAGAATTCTTCGTTGGGGAGGAGCTCAACAATGATCCAGAGATTTTCAAAGAAGAGCTACGCGAGCACATGCGAAGTGTCCGATCAGCCCCGACAGCGCATCATGACAAAAGAAAAGCCTTTGCACATGCAACGCTCTACGAGTGCACACACGTCTTTGTGCGAGTAGATGCCGTTCGCAAGCCCTTGGAGCAGCCGTACGAAAACCCGTATGAGGTGATCGACAGACCATCTGACCGAGTATTCGTAGTCAACATTCGGGGCAACCACACAACAATTTCGACCGAAAGGCTGAAGCCGGCCTTTGTGGAAGTCTTAGGACAACAGCCAGCAACTACAACTCAGCCCACGCAGACATTGACGCAAGCAGCGCAAAATACCCGACCACAGCCAAGAAGCCTTAAAACATACCCAGGAAAGAAAAGTGTGAGATTCAACACCAGCCAGCCAAGTCGCTCGGGGGGGGGGAGGGGGGAGCCCTGTGGCGACCACAGCCACGAGTCATGCCGTTGTTGCCGTGCGCTAAGCACACGTTAAAGTTCGCGCCTCGGCAGGCCGTGCACGAACACACCGCGCAACACCAGCGCCCTCGCAAGCTACCACACGGTAGCAAGACGGAAGGAAGCCATCTTGTCCCTAGGAAAGGGAAGGGAGTAGAGATGGTTAGAGAGGACATCCGGTTAGAGAGTAGAAACTGACTATGAATACCGGCCTAAGACGTGTTTGATTAAGGGGAAGTGTTAAAGCATGAACTATATAATCAACCACTAGTTAGATATAAGAAACTAAGGATCTCTCTATATAGATTAAGTATGTCTAGTGTTTTTTGGTTTTACTTCCGTTCCTTCTTCTTCTTCGCGACAACGCTGCAATATGTACACATGGTGAATAAACTATATTAATTATTACTTTCCATCCACCGCTAAATTATTGTTTTTTTTCCAAATAACCAACAGGTTATGGGCCCAGGAGTGTTTCGTGCTATGCAAAAGTATTGTTTACGGGACAGTTATATTCGCGTTCAATAATTTTTTTCGAGTTACTCGTTTCGAGGTTATGGCACCTCGTGGTATGAACATTTCGCGTGCATACAATCCCAACACTCACGCCTTTCCGAAATTTATATAACATTACATGCCGCAAATGCACCTTGTGGTTCTCCATTTTTAATGATTTCTCTTATGCACAAATGGACTTATCTGAATAATGTCTGACGCTAAATTGACATAAGACAACGTCATCTATTCGGTGTAAGCAACAATTACCACACGAAAACAATAGAACTCCGCCATGCAGTAACTTAATGCCATCTATGAAAATCGGGCACGAACTTATGCAATCATCCAATACATCAACGATGGTTGTTGGTAGTGGACATACATTCGAGAAACTGGAAGGAACTGCAAATTACAACAATTGGAAATTTACGATGCGGATGTCATTAATTATGGATAGTTTATGGAACTGTGTTGTAGGAACCGATACCGACGTAAATCGGGACCAAAGGGCATTAGCAAAAATTTGTCTGTCAGTCCAACCATCGTGTTACGCCCACGTCAGAGACGCTGACAAAGCTAAACGAGCTTGGGATAACCTTCAGAGAGCATTCGAAGACAAAGGCCTATGTCAACGACTAAGTCTTATGCGACGACTACTCCGAACCAAGTATGAAGATTTTACATCGATGGGAGACTACGTTAATGGACTAGTTTCGTTAGCACAACACCCAAGTAGCACATGAAGCTTTAAAACGTCTGCGATAACGTTGTCGCAACTTAAACTGCAGCATTTTTGTCTACCATAGCTACTGCCACAACGTCATTGTGACGTTCTGATAAAGTTGTGACAGCAAAAGTGGGACAACATTTTTAGGCTTTGAAAATGATGTCACAGCCATTTGGCTGCATAACTATTTTGCTGTAAAGACAAATAGCTGTGGCTAAATTTTGGCTTTTGTTATTGACTTCATACCAATTAATGCAGCTAAAATCGCTGCGGCTAGTTTTAGTTTTTTTGATCGCTATCACAGCAACTTTAGAGCTATTAATACAGCTAAAATAGCTGTGGCTAAATTTTGGCTTTTGTTATTGCTGTCACAGCGACTTCATACCAATTAATGCAGCTAAGATCGCTGCGGCTAGTTTTGGTTTTTCTGATCGCTATCACAGCAACTTTAGAGCTATTAATACAGCTAAAATAGCTGTGGCTAAATTTTGGCTTTTGTTATTGCTGTCACAGCGACTTCATACCAATTAATGCAGCTAAAATCGCTGCGGTTATTTTTGGTTTTTCTGATCGCTATCACAGCAACTTTAGAGCTATTAATACAGTTAAAATAACTGTGGCTAAATTTTGGCTTTTGTTATTGCTGTCACAGCGACTTCATACCAATTAATGCAGATAAAATCGCTGCGGCTAGTTTTGGTTTTTCTGATCGCTATCACAGCAACTTTACAGCTATTAATACAGTTAAAATAGCTGTGGCTGCGTTTTTGACTTTTTATTAGCTGTCACAGCGCTTTTGCAGTCAAAAGTCCAGCAAAATAACATTTATTGCCAAATAGCTGTAATTAAGGCTGGCAGGACGTTATATTAGCCACATTTTTACTGTCGCAGCGAATATAACCAGACTGTGTTACTTGGGCAGCTAGCCGACATCGGTCACAAAGTCGATGATGAAGAAATCGCCCTACTTATATTGGGTGGATTACCCGTAGAGTTCGAACCATTAGTCATGGGAATAGAAGCAACGTATACCAAACTTTCAAGTGAAATGGTGAAATCGAGACTGTTGCAAGAAGATTATCGAAGAAGCGATGTAGCGACGAGTGAATCAAAGGATGCTGCTCTTGCTGTGAGACATTCTTCGAAGAATATGCAACGTAAGAAGATTGTAATCTGTCATAATTGCAGAAAATCGGGCCACATTAAGCCAAAGTGTCCAGATCTCAAGAAGGAGAACAAGACAGAACAAAATGAATCTCACCGGAAACAGAAGTCTTCAACGTCCAAGAAGCCTGGATCTCTTCTGCTAACGACAGCATTGAGTACTGCTGCATTCAACAACAGCGACTGGATTATCGATTCTGGTTGTACCGCTCATATAAACATGCGCAAGGATTGGTTCGTTAATTATTCTAATAAAGATTCAAAAGAAATAACCGTTGCCAATAATCAAAAACTAAAAGGTAATGGTGTAGGTGAAGTAAAAGTTAACCTAAAAGGTGACATTCAAAAGACTATTACAGATGTGATATACGTACCTGACATTGCCGCGAATTTGCTATCCGTGAGCAAAATGACTGAAAAAGACTTGATAGTTGTTTTCGAGAAAAATAAGTGTCATATTTATGACAAGACTGATTATAAAGTTAAAAGTAATTGCAAAGTTTCATCCTCGAACGTCGATGGAGTCTACAGACTAGATCAATCAGCGAAGCCACCATCTCAGATACAACATGAAGTTGCTGCGACAACAACGGAGGATAAAAATGCCGAGGCCAGTGAGGAATCTGCAGCGTTGTCGACAGCCGGAGTATTGCGAGAAATCTGGCATAAGCGTTTAGGACATCTAAGTCAGAAAAGCATGACTATGCTTCAAAATGGACTCGTTGACGGTATAAGCTTCAAAGAAGATGAACAGGTAAACCATTGCATTCCATGTATCGAGGGCAAACAAAGAAGAAATTCTTTTCCAAAAGGTGAAGCTAAAAGAGCTAAGGAAAAATTAGAATTAATTCATTCTGACTTATGTGGACCAATGTCTGAGAAGTCCTGCTTACTTTTACGGATGATTTCTCAAGAAAAAGTTTTGGTTATTTACTCAAGTCAAAAGGAGAAACATTCAGCGCCTTCGTAGAGTTTAAGAAACTTGTAAAAAATCAGACTGAATTAAAAATAAAAAGGTTAAGGACTGATAATGGTCGTGAATACTGTAATAAAGTCTTTGAAAGTTTTTTGAAGGGAAATGACATTATACACGAGACGACTATACCTTACACGCTTGAGCAAAACGGTGTCTCGGAGAGATTGAACAGGACCGTAATAGAAAAGACCAGGTCTATGCTGCAGGACTCCGGATAGGAAAAACGCTATTGAGGAGAGGCGGTGACGACTGCGATAAACCTCAAGAATCGAAGCCCAACTGTAGCAGTTCAAGGAGCAACACCTGAAGAAATCTGGTCAAATTCAAGGGTCGACGTGAGTAATCTACGTGTATTTGGGTGTGTTCTTGTTCAACAAAATGGTTGAAATTGATGCAAACGTTTGTGGAAACGAAAATGCTTTATTACCTCTGGCTATTACAATAATCGCTTGCCAACGGCTCGAACTACACTTACTCACTTGACTTGCTCTCTGACGCTAGCGCCGCTAGTCTTAAGCGCCACACTTTAACTCCCTAGTGACTAAATTAACGCGCCATGTTTAAATTAAATTAAAATGAAAACTAAAGACCTAAACTATATAAGGCCTCAACATTTCCGCCCCCCCCTTGAAAGGCTCTTTCAAACGAAAACTTAATGGCTAAATAATGCAAATAAACATGACAATAAACTAATGACAAGGATATAGACCAGAATAAACATAAGCAATGTGAAACAAAACAAATGAATAGAAATTAAGAGTATTCTGTAACATCGTCTATTGGTATAGGACAAGCATCCCGCACTGATCGTTTATATTGTCCCTTAGCAGTTTTTACTGTTATCACTCTTGTTTCACCATCTGGTCCTAGATGCAGTTCTTGAACCCTTCCAATCGTCCATTGTAGAGATGGTAAGTGATCCTCTTTTAAAAAAATTAAAGTTCCCTTCTTTATAGTCTTGTCTCCTGTGGTCCATTTTTGTCTGCGTTGTAGTTCTGTTAAATATTCCTTTTGCCAACGAATCCAGAAATCCTGACGAACCTTCTGTATATGCTGCCATCTACTTAACTTATTATCAGGAATATCCAGATAACTCTTTTGAACTGGCTGCATCATGTAATCGCCGATTAAAAAATGTGATGGCGTTAAAGGCGATAAGTCTTTTGGATCTGAAGATAAAGCAGTCAATGGACGTGAATTTAGGACTGCCTCGATTTCGACTAATAATGTATAACATTCTTTCAAAGTTAATATAAGATCCTTGGTTACGGCGTAGAAGTGTTTCTTCATACTTTTTACCGATGATTCCCACAATCCTCCAAAATTAGAAGCTCATGGGGGAATAAATTGCCAATTAATTTTTTGTTTCGTTAACTCTTCCTGTAAAGTCTCCTTTTGTTCCCTTAGAAACTCATATATTTCTTTTAAATCTCTTGATGCCCCAACAAAGTTAGTAGCATTATCAGAGTATAAGTGTGAACAAATACCACGTCTTCCGATGAAACGTCGAAGAGCTGCTATAAAAGCTTCAGTTGTCAGATCCGTAACTAATTCCAAATGAATTGCCTTTGCACTGAAGCAGACAAATAAAGCGACGTAAGCTTTAGAAATATGAACTCTTCCTCGCCTTCTGCTTTCTCTTACACGCAATGGTCCTGCGTAATCCACTCCACTTATTGCAAATGGACGTAGGAATCCGGTAACTCTTGATTTTGGTAGATCACCCATTTTAACTTGTACCTTAGCGGGTTGTAGACGAAAACAATTTAAACAGGATCTAGTAGTTCTACGAGCTTCTATTCGTCCTGATAGAACTCAATATTTTTGTCTTATAGATGCCAATAGCTGTTCCGCTCCACAGTGAAGTAATCGGATATGCTCCGCCTTGAATATTAATCTAGTTACACGATGTTTGCCTGGCGGCACGATTGGATGTTTGGCTCTCTCTGACATCTTTGCATGACGTAATCGACCTCCGACACAGATTAAATCTTCTTTATTCAAGAATGGATCGAGTGCTAAGAGTTTGCTATTCTTTTTGATAGCTTGATTGTTCTGCAAACATGCAAGCTCCTGTAGAAAGGCTTCCTTCTGAACTAACTTTATGATTGTCTTCTCCGCTTGTTCTAACTCTAAGACAGCAAGAGCCTGGCCCATGAGTGTTTCTTTTCTGCATCGTTTTATGAACCTGTAACAATAAGCTACAATTCTACATAGTTTAGTGAATGAAGATACATCAGGTAATACATGAGAACTTGATTGTACTGCTGCAAAGTTAACGACAGTTTTTCTCTCTGGTAACTCTATCACGTTACTAGGTTGCTAAGGCCACGGACCTTCTTCTTGCAGCCATCTAGGTCCATGCCACCATAAATCATTGCCTTTCAAATCTTCAATAGTTGTTCCTCTAGACAAAATGTCTGCCGGATTTTCTGACGAAGAAACATGCTGCCACACTTCTTGCAAACCCAGCGCTTGAATTTCTGAAATTCGGTTTGCTACAAAAGTCTTCAAGGTACTGGGACAGGTACGTATCCATCCAATCACAATAGTAGAGTCACTCCATAAGTGTATCTACTTGATCTTGTTTCCTATAGCTTCGTGAACCGTCTTACAAAGTCTTGCTAGTAGTAGACCAGCACAAAGCTCTAATTTGGCAATAGTCATAACCTTCAACGGGGCTACTCTTGTTTTTGCGCAGATTAGATGACAAGAGGGTCTGCCAATTTCGTCATGAGAAACGGCATATAAACAAGCTCCGTATGCCTTCTCTGAGGCATCATTGAATCCATGAATAATTATTTCTTCTGAAGAATGCGAATTCTTTATCCGACGAGTGATCATCAAGTCATTAAGATTTTCTAACGATGATTGGAACCTCTTCCATTTACTATGAAGGGCTTGAGGTAAACTTTCATCCCATTCGATATTAAGGCACCATAATTGTTGCATGATTACCTTTGCCACTATAAAAATAGGTCCAATGAAACCCTGCAGCCGGAGGTTGCACTACCTATGGTAAAACGACAAAGCGAGCAGATGCCTTCGACTTCAGGGGAAGGCATCGAGTCGAAGTCGCCGATTCTAGTAACAAGAACACAAAAATTCAGATCGGTGTCACGTGAGTCAAGCGTGGACAGCGACGGAAGAAAACAGATCCGGATGGTACTAAAGAGGATGCCACCAACAAGCAGCTCGGGAAGTGACAGCGAGTGGCAACCTGGGAAAAAGAAGAAGACAACCCGGAAAAGTGCAAAGAAACTTAGGGTGCCACTACATGGAGCGCGGAAACGCGGAAACGCGGAAGAGAATAGTAACCAGATTCCCGCGTTCCGTTCTGTCTGTTTTGATTGCCTTGTATTACATGGAGCAGATTTTGAGCGGAAAAGCAGAACGAAAAATTATAAAATGTGAAAAATATTTCAACTATCTCAGAATGTCACCAATAATGTTTACCGAATTACTCAATATTGTTGGGCCACTCATCGAAAAACAACATGTAGTTCGACAACCAATACCGGCCAGAACGAGATTAGAGGTGACTATACAATGGTTGGCATCTGGAGACAGTATGACATCACTATCGTATGCTTATCGCATTGCCCAATGTACGCTATCACGAATTATTCCGGAAACTTGTAAAGCAATTTGACTCTCCTTAAAGGAAAAAGTTATGATTGATCCAACCGAAGAAAATTGGAGTACAATTGCAGAAGACTTTGAGACAACATGCCAATTTCCACACTGCATAGGCGCTATCGATGGGAAGCATGTCGAAATTCAAGTATGTATATTATCAATTTATTTATAATAATTTAGGTTCAATATATTACACATTGATGATGCAATTATGTATGTTTTGAAATAAGTAATGTCTTTATCACAATGATGGTTTTCAATTTTGCAGGCACCGCCTCGTAGTGGTTCCTGCTACTACAACTATAAAGGAAAGCATAGCATAAACCTGCTCGCAGTAAGTGATGCCAAGAACCGCTTCACTATTGTTGATATTGGAGCAGAAGGAAGGCAAAGCGACGGAGGTGTTTTTGAAAACAGCGGGTTACTGCATTTACTTGAAACAAATGCTCTCCATATCTCTCTACCTACGCGTCTGGATAATATGGATTTGGATTTTCCGTACGTTTTGTTGGGAGATGAGGCTTTTCCTCTAAGCACACATATGATGCGACCATACCCTTGAAGTGGACGGCTAAATATCAGCAGAAAAATTTTCAACTATCGCTTGAGTCGAGCAAGGAGAACAGTTGAATGTGCTTTCGGAATTTTGGTTGCAAGATGGAGAATATATCGTCAACCTATTGTTACATGCACATCTACTGCCGTAAAAGCTGTACAAGCAACAGTTGTCTTGCATAATTTTATTATTAATAAAGAATTGGACTTACCACTTGCAGAAAGAAGGTATTGTACTATACAAGAAGAAGAGTTTAATCTCCTGGCTACAAGTAATGGATTAACAGATGTAAATTATAGAAATACTTCACAAAAGTCTGCAGCAGTGAAAATTCGAGACAACTTTACTCATTATTTCGAGCATGTCAATCCTCTATCATGGCAGTGGGATAAAGTTTTAACTAACAACTTTTAAAATATGTAGTTTTAATTCAACGCACTTGTAAATAACTGTATTAATTAGAATTTTGTATTTGTATTTTGTTAAAGTATATAATTCAAAAAAGTTTCTCATGATATTCGTACGTAATCTGTTTTTTCGATATATATTGTGAAAATTTAATAGTATAGAGCAATTCATACAATATGTATAATGAACAACAATGTAATAAATTGAATAGAAAAATATATTTTAATCTTTATAACTTACATATTACACGAATTGAACAATTTATTATATTAAAAAAAACGTATCTATTTGGCACTCGCCCTCTTCTCAAGCTCGGCATCCTCTTCTTCTATGGCAATATCCATAAGCCTTCTTTGCAGGTTTCTGCGTCGTACGTAGGGTAGTCGCCGTAGAATGTCACCAAGCTGGTCCAAAAAACTATCCACTACATCACGTTTTTTGCTCGATACTTCATCAATGATACTAAGAAATTTATTCTCAATTTCAGCTTGCCTTTGCGCATCTGTAATTAATAATATATGCATATATATAATAAGTGTCTAATAACGATCCGAGATTGATCAATATATAATATTATTAATTATCCTTTTCTATTCTATTCTATTATATAATGGATATTTTCTATTTCCTATTGCCTGTTGCTTAGCATTATGCAAGAGCCTTTACTTTTCCTTTTCGTTCCTGATGATGCAGATCGTGATGAATCTGACGATGAATATGAAACACCCTGTATGGAATCATCAAGATCTGTAGAATTTTCAGCAGTCATGTCCATTTGCATATCTTCAACATGGGATGAATTTGCTTCCAAAAGGTGCTGGACGGAGCTGACAGTCCTGAAACAAAAATAATAATTTTATAATTTTATAAATTATTAAATCCAATTATACACAATTTGAATGTTCGTAAAATCTTAGTTAAAAAATTAATGTGGGAACATTCCATTCTAATCAGCTAAAGAACGAGATTTAAAGAGGATAGTTTGTGATAAGATATTGTAAACGTATTTGATGGTAAAATTATTTTTTAAACTATATGAATAATATCTGCAAAAAAATGTAAATATTTACGGTGTCGTCTTTACGGTATCATTGAGAAACCTCATTTCTTCATAATGAGCAAACGAACTTCGTAAAGGATGGCCAGATTCTGCTCCTGATCCGCTTCATACGTATCCTTGCATCTTCTTTCTAGCCTTTATGTACGAATCTCGCAAGTATTTCCATCTCTGCTTAACTGTTTCCATAGACAGAGATCCTACGATTGTACAGAAAATTGTCTATTATTTACTTTTACACGCAGATAATATTATTCATAAAAGTCATTAAAAATGATCTTACCATCAAGTACGTTTACAATTTCTTGCCATAAACTTTCTTTTTTTAATCTTGTCCTTTCGGTTATTGGAATTGAATGATCCCATAAACCTCTTCGAGTCCGCACCAGTTCAATTAGTAACTCGTCTTGTGTGAGTACTGATTATGTATCAGATTGTGAAGCTCCTTCATGTTGCACAACACTTTCAGTTTGATGTCTCTTTCCTTTAACATAAATAAATAAACAACTAAAATTATCGTGAAATGACTCAATTGACTGTTCTCTCTCTGACGTACTATACGTACTCATAGTAACCACAGCATTGCTGTCAACATTTATAACATCTATAGTTTCATTGTATGTCTTGAAACAATGGTGGTCCAAAATTGTTCCACATGACCCCCTAAAAATGAAGCCGCAATAGCCACACTTTGTTGCCTGTGAACAAATACAATCGTTTAATTATCTTTATTTCATCTAAAGTGAGGTTATGACTTTGCAATAGGTATTAATAATGTTATTCTGTTCAAATTTAATATTGTGTTTCCTTACATCATTTCATTATTATTTTTACAAAAAACTTCTTTGTTTGTTTGTTTGTTTTTACAAAAAGCAGTACAAAACCTAAAGTTAGGTTACATTTACGTGTTAATTCTATATCTATATCGAAAGAAGTGTGTAAATTACAGAAACTTTTCTCCAAAAATAACAAGCTACTATGTTTATTAAGTACTAAAAAGCATTCAAATACTTACAGGACCATCCATTTATAAAGTTTTTATATTTTCTATACACTTTTGTTGAGTTTTGTTGAGACGGTAACGGATTCCGCGGATTCCGCTCAAATGTGCGGAAAGAAACGACTCAATTCGCGGAAACGCGGAATAGTTACTTTTCTAGTTACAATTCTCTTCCGCGTTTCTGCGTTTTCGCCATAAACATATAGAATGGACTGAGCGTTGCGATAGACAAACGCGCGCTCGCTGTAGAAAGAGAGATACTATATGGGAGGCCTATTTTGTCTCTTTTCTTAGCATCTCGTTGGTGATTTTGTCCCCCTCCATATAGAAAATTACCAATGAGATGCTAGGAAAAGAGACAAACATAGGCCTCCCATATAATACCTCTCTTTCTACAGCGGGCGCGCGTTTGTTTATCTCGCAATGCTCAATCCAGTCTATATATCTATGGTTTCCGCGCTTCATGTAATGGCACCCTTAAAGTGTAGCAAGGTGCACGAGATGCACTTCGCGCATGCGCGGAGACAACCGGCTAGTGACGAGGTCCAACGGGGAACTGTACCCGGTGTAAAACATGTGAATAGAGCGGTGCGAAGGTTTCGATTAATTTTGAGCATTTTATATTAAGTTTAGGATTTAGACAGTCAGTCAATAACTGATCTTAGATTTTAAGTGAGATTGTGTAGTAAGAGTGTAACGGGTGTACTTTTTATGAGCTCGCGGATTCGCTCGGTCGTGATCAGGGCTCGTAGAAAGTAGTGAGACACACGATGTAAGTAAAATATAAAGGAATGATACTTTATTTGGCTTCTATCGGCGCTGAATAATAACACAGAAATGCCCCGCGGAGCGGGTGCGCTGCGGATAGTAAGGCGTTACTGACGGGGCGCGGCTGTTATGAATTGCGCGATTTTGACAATGAGATGCGGTGTAGTATACGCAAATCGGATATAAACACGCCAGGTAGACGGTGCGGGGCGTGTGGTCGGTTTGTTGTGACGGCGCGTGGTTCACAAAAACGTGTGAGCCGGTTTAAATCGACGAGACTGTTTCTTATGCGTCTACGGTCCGCGGTAATATTTACGTCTGCCACGGGCGGGGCGCGTATTCCCAGATGTTGTGGGATGCGTGCGATATCGAGAAATCTCGAACAGGCAGCGAACTCGCTGTTCCTTGTTCGCACGCGGAATACGGATTGACCAACGGAGTTGAGGAAACTCAACAGGGTGGCGAACTCGTCAGCCCACGGTCCGTATGGTCGGGTCGGTCGGAAATTAGACCGTTTCCTGAGAACTCTCGAGAGAAGCGGTCGCGGATTGCGAAGGATCGTAAAGCGGTTCGGAAGCCGAGAATCACGCACGCACGCACGCACGCACGCACGCACGCACGCACGCACGCACGCACGCACGCACGCACGCACGCACGCACGCACGCACGCACGCACGCACGCACGCACGCACGCACGCACGCACGCACGCACGCACGCACGCACGCACGCACGCACGCACGCACGCACGCACGCACGCACGCACGCACGCACGCACGCACGCACGCACGCACGCACGCACGCACGCACGCACGCACGCACGCACGCACGCACGAACATATTAGAATTTAAAAAAATTTTATATTTCATAGAATAATAATACACACCAGTAAAGCTATGCAAATATGGTCCTCCACATGAATTACATGATTCATTAATAACAGTTGAATTTAAAGACTCTGATTGAGAACTGATATTTGTGGAAATACTTAAGGATGGCGATGATTGTGTTGTTTTATTTAAAGAACCTACAACCTTTGATTTTCTAGTAGTAGTATTGCGTGCAGTAGCAGTAGTAGTATTGCATGCAGAATAAGTATCAGAAGAATCTGAACATGTGCCTTGTTGCGATAATGTAATATAACAAATTTAAAGAAAAATGTAAACATTAGAAACAAAATTCCAAAAATATGATGCTTTATTACTATTCTAAATATTTTGCTATTTCTTTTTACCTGTTTCTGGAAAGCATCTTGATGTCATGGATTGTAGTATTAAAAATTCATCTTGTAGCACATTCGCTAAACAATAATGATGAGATAATAAAATGCTTCCAATATTTGTAAAAAGATAAAATTAGATTTATATTTATTAATTTATATTTATTTATTAATAATAGTAGTATTTAAGCAATATTAAAATATACTTAGTTAAACTATAAATAATTATAAAGTCTTATTCATTAATATATTTTGTTTGTATATTTTAGATGACTGATTTTAGATGATATATAGTTTTATAGCAAGAACGTTTTATTTAGCAGTTTAATATATCTCTTATATTAAAGTATTAGTGCAAACAAGAGATATTAAGTTGCTAAATAAAATACTTTAATATTAGTTATATATACTTATAATTACTGCATTACATCTAATAAATTGTTAATATTAAAAATCCGAATTCTTAAAGCAACGACAGGAATAAAGAAAATGTTAATTTTTCGTATAATTTAATAAAGCGGGAAGCAAATGTAATTAAGTTTAAATTTAACTTTTTACGTATGACTAATATTATTAAAAAATATTTTTATCAAATGTGGAAATTTTTGGTGGTCGACATAAAGAACGATCGTTTTCATTGTCTTCTTCTTCACTTGTAGATATATATCTAGAATTTCGTTTTGGCTGTCTTTTCTTTAGTTGCTCTCTATCTTCCAATGTAGAAGACTGCACATCAGAAAATTCTTCACACTTCTTTAGTTTTTTATTAGCTTTCTCTAAATCATCTATAATTAACAAAGATAAAATCGTTAAAGGCAAGTTTTATAAACATAACCTAATTTTATGCAATAAAATTTGCTAATTAAAAGTAATCACAACAATATTCAATAATATTAAATATTAACTAAATAAGTTATTAATATTCAATACCCAATATACACACACATACATATACATATATGTATATTTATACATATATATAGTGTACATACCACAGGAAAAAAGTATTTGTTTGACACCGTATATTTTCCATGTTTAACTTTTTGGTTTTTCCTTCAGAAACAGTGCTTTCTTAAATTGTGCACCAG